TCTCTGGCACCCACAGCCAACTGAGAACAGCCACGGAGGCTGGAGGCCACGCCAGCCCTCACCTCACACCTGGCTGCGCGGGCTCCCACCTGGCAGCGCGGCTGGGGCGTGGGCCCTGCGGCGGAGGGAGGGAGGGAACACCGCCCGTTCCTGGGGACCGAGCCTCAACACCCACCCCCAGGAGACTTCCAGCAGCTCAGGGCACCTGCCCGGGCCTGTTCCCAGACAAACGCCAGCAAGAAAGGCCGCCAGGAGGCACGGCTGCGGGGAGCTGAGGCTCCGGCAGGCGCTCTGGTTTGGAGCCCTCTCGTAATGCAACAGCTCGCACCCCACAGGGCTGTGCGGACCCCGGGGCCAGGTCCCGCGGCTCAGGTCTGCAGGCGAGGAGACGCGCCACACCCTCCCGGCCTCCACCACCGCCGTCTTGACCTGAAACCGCTGTGCACCAGGCCTCGGGGAGGGCGGTCTGGTTTAAGGAGTCCCTCGCCTGTCACTGTCTGGCAAGTCCAGGCCCGGCCTGACTCCCGTGTGGCCTGGGGCGAGCCCCCGTCTTGAGTCTAGCCCCAGCCCGTGGCTGACACCTGTACCACCATGTGGGTGCCGAGGGGCAGACACGGGCTTGCCCTCACACCCACCGCGCTCTCCTCCTGGCCCCGAGCCCAGCTCCGCCGTGTGACCCCAGGTCCTTGCCGGGGAGGCCTCCTCGGCCTGCAGCAGACCTGCTGACACAGGCTCACACTGTCCTTCATTAGTGCCGCCGAGGACGCACAAGTCACCAACAGACCAACTTGTCTCCCTGGTTTGGCCCCTGGGGGCACCGGTGGATGGGGTGTCTGTTGTTCCCGGGGGACTTGGCCCAGTGTGGGGAGGCCCACCTTCCCCCGTTGGGGACACACCGGGGCTTCTCTCTGGGATGGCCAGGCCGTCCCCTGTGCACACCCTACGGCCCCCCAGCTCACACCCGTGGTGCCTGGCGACAGCCCTCCTCAGCCGGCTGGAGTGGCCAGTCCTCCACCCGAAGGCCACAGGAGCCAGGCAGGAGGGCGAGGCCTGGTTCTGCGGAAGGCTGGCTCCCGGCAGCCCCATTGGGATGGACAGGGAAGACAGCAGGCAAGGGGGCCGGGAAACACTGGGCCCAGGACAGAGCAGCCTGACCTGGCTTTACTGGGCTGCAGTGGATGCCACAGGCTTTGTTTGGGTCAATCCGATGGGCCCTTGAAAAGAGCTTCTCCAAGCCTTTGTTTTTGCGCCTGTAAGATGGGTCTACAAAGACCTCCCCCTCCATGTGTTAACGAGACAGTAACGGCGGGTGCTTCGCACAGCTACGGGACAACATCACCCGAGAGGGCTGTGCACGGGCTGCAGACGGCCTCGTGAGGAAGACGGCCCGAGGCTGCCACGCGGTGCCTGGTGCCGGCACTGTCCCCCTCCCGGCCACCTTCCTGGTGGCTGTGATGGATTTCACTCTTACAGGTGAAGATGCAGGCGCAGGGTGGGTGGGGAGCTGGCATCTGTACCCAGGCCCGGCGGTGGGCTTCCCTGCAGGGGGGCTGCCCTGTGTCCTGCCCAGCGCAGGAGGCTCTGGGTCCAGCATCACGCGGGGTCCTCACCTCTGGGGGGATGGTGACACCCAGAGCCCTCCATTGGCTCCTCACACGGTGGAGGGACCAGGCAGCAGGGCACAGGCGGGGCCAGCCCAGGGACCTATGTGGAGCCACACGAGGGCTTTTGCCTTGGGACAGGACAAAGCACATGGACCCTTCTGGTCTAGAGAGGAGCTACGTGCCAGGCGGCTTCCGAGAGCCCCGCTGAGCGTGTGTGAGACAGATACGGGCTCAACCAGGACGAGCCTGTCTAGGGCCTTGAGGACCCTCCCATCAGACTCTGCCCAACACCCAGGTGGCGAGACCCCACACAGACGGGAAAAGACCCCCACCGGTTCCTGCTGGGGGCCTCAGCAGGGTCCTCAGTGCAGGCTCAGGGCACACGGGTGCCCACCCCGGCCAGACAGCGGGCTGCAAGCCCAACGCACAGAGCCGGCAGTTCCCACTACGCTGACGGCTCCATGGCCCCTCTGACCCCACCCCCAACGTGGCCCCAGCCTGGGGGACCTCGAGAACACCCTCCTCACCCTCCCTCGCCCACTCCCCCGCCAGGATGGCCGGGATACATCGGGACGTGCCTGGGTCCACCGGCAAGTGTTTGCAGAGAACCAGGAGCCAGGAGCCAGGCCGGGTCTGCGGCTACAACGGAGAACCTGACGGTCCCCGACCCAGAGAGCTCATGTCCCAAGGCGGGGGCACCAGGACCCCCGGGAACAAGCAAACAGTCGCCCAGGGAGCACCTAAGGCCCAGACACAACCTTGCAGGGCACCCGCTGGCACACAGGCGTGATTCGGCACGAGGGCTCCGGCAATGCAGAGGCCCCGGGGTGCCACGCGACGCGGCTCTGCTGTCTGGGCAGCGCCGGCTGTGAGGGAGGGCCGACTGGGCTGTGGCCGCAGTGGCGTGGTCCCCGCTGCCTCCCAGGCCTGTCTCTTCCCGCAAAATGGGACAACTGTCATCACTAAACAAAAGTCTCCAACGGGAGCCCGATACATCGGCCGTTTCCCTCTGTTATGAGTAAAGTCTCTGTCACCATTGCCCTTTCTGGTCCCTCAGGCAGAGGCTGAAAAGGCCACCCACACGCCCAGGGCCACCTCCCTCCCGTCCAACCCTGACAGTCTCAGGTCTCTGCCCCACCCTGCCTGAGCCAGCTGAGCGCAGGGCAGACTCTCCGCAGGTGTCCAAGCCCAGACCCCCCCCCCTCTGAGAAGGTCCCATTGCAGAAGTCTGGGTCCCTGAGAGGGCAGAGGGTCCAGGGCTCCGGGAGCAGCTGGGGCTGCGGGGCCGCCAGAGGGCGCCCGGTCCGCGGAGGCCAGGCCTAGCGGCAGGGAGCAGGAGGGACGAGGGGCTTGGCGGTCTCTAGGACAGCCGCTGTCCTGGGAGGTCACCCTGGTTCTCTCACTCGCGTTGTAGCCACACTCTCGTCAGTGCCTGGCCCTGTAGGATGCTCTCCTGTTCTGGGGGCAGTGAGGGTGCAGCCATAGGGGGTCCAGACAGAGCAGATCCCGGCAGAAGACCACAAGCAGGAGGCGGTAACCCTGCCCAGAGAGCAGTTCCAGCCTGTGGGCCTGGAGGGGGTGGTGCCTGACCCCTGGCAGCAGGCGCCCCTGGCAGCAGGCGCCAGCCCATGGTGCTCAGTGTCAGGGCATTTGCACCCCCCTGCTGGATGGGCACCCCCCCAAATCACACAGAGAAGCCAACACCATTTACTTGTCCTGGGTCCCTCCCTCACTGCATTCCCAGCCCAAAGGCGCAGGACCCAGGCTCTCTGGCTCAACCCCTTCACCTTCCCCACAGTGCCTGCCCTTGGCAGCCGCCCACACCCTGCCACTCTGCCTCTGCCTAACTGGGAACAGTGGCCTGTGCGCGCAGGCAAGTTTGGGACGGTCCCCAAGGATGCAAGTGCCGAGTGGGCGTGGGTGTGCTAAGAAGGGCTGTGGGGCTGATGGCTTCCCAAAGGAACGTGCCCAAAAGCCCGGGCTGGGGGAGGGGCTGCAGCCACTCAACTACCAGGACACCCCGGAGTCGGGGGAAAAATTCACCAGAAAGACCAGGGATGTGCAGGTGCCAGTCCCCGTGTGTGTGAGGAGGGCAAAGGTGCTGTAGAGCAGGGACCATGTTGTGCCAAGGCCCTGTGCTGCCAGGCACCCAGCCGTGCCCCGTCCGGGAGACAGGGAGCCCAGCCAGGTGCAGGAGGTGGCCTGACAATGACAGAGCCGCATCTGCAGAGCGAAGCACAGGAACCTCAGGGCACCCTCCACGGATGCTCCCCTTCCATGTCCCCAGTCACCATGTGAGCGTGGCTCTTTCCCCTCACTCCACTTCCCCAGTTTGGGAGGGGCCCCCCAGAGCAGGAACCTGGTCCGTTCTGCTCTTGCCCACTGGGTCCCTCTGGCCCCAGCACGGGGTCCCAGTGCAGGCACCTGCACCCTGCACCGAGCAGGGGTGTTTCCCCACAAGTAGGAGCAGGAGGTCCTCGGCACACCGCGCCCACCGCCCCACCCGCACACACTTCTGTCCCCAAAGCTCCCAGCGCAGGCAGGGGAGGGAACTGCAGGCAGCTGCAGGGCTGAGGCGGCCGCCAGGAGGACCGCTGTTCTTACAAAGAAATGACTTGGCCCTGGGCGGGATCCAAGGCGCCGACCACCTGCAGCTGGACTCGCCGCTCCAGGCCGCCCCAGTGCCAGGCGGGGGCCCAGGCGCGCACAAGTTGCTCGGCAGGAATCCCCGAGAGGCGCGGCCTTCAGCTCCTGAGAAGCGCCCAGCTCGCTCCCCACCTCTCTGCTCCCCCTTCCCCGCCCCCTGCACTGAGGGGGCCACTTTGAAACCCCATCTGGGCTGCCCTTGCGGGAGACCCCGCGGGAACTCCCAGGCAAGACCCGAGATGCCTCCGGGAGAGCAAGAGTCCGCGGCCACCGTCAGCTGCGCCCCGACAGCCCGGCCACGCCGAGCCCGGGCAGCCCCCCAACGGCCGGCCCCGCGGCGAGGGCGGCCGGCACCTTGCCCTGGGGCTCGGAGTCCCGGGCGCGCTGGGCCGAAGACGCCCAGCTCAAGCCGCGGCCAGGGAGGAGCGCAGCGCGCCGGGACCGCCCGGCCCGAACTGCTCCGCGGGGAAGGGGTGTTTGCGGGGAGGCGGCCGAGCCGAGCGGAGGAGACCCGGGCGAGGGCGGGCGGAGCGGCGCGCGGAGGCGAGGGCCGTGGCGGTGCAGATGAGCGGAGGCGCAGGGGCACTAGGGGCCCGGGCCGCTGGGCGCAGGCGGCGGGATCAGGCGCCTGAGGCGTGTGGCCGCGCCGGGAGGATCAGGGGGCACAGCAGAGACGCCACGCGCGACGGGTGTGGGGCCCGAAGGAAACCCGGCCGGGTCGGGGTCCCCGGGCGCCGCGCCCTCACTCACCCGAGATCTCTGCCTGGGGCACGTCGCTCAGGCTGAAGCCCTTGGCCCCGTAGATCTGGCGGACCTCGCCGCAGCTCCGGCTCTTGCTGGCAGGGTCCCCGCGGACGCAGGCGACGAGCGCGGCGGCCGCGCACAGCAGCCACCAGCCTCCAGCCCGGAGCTCCATGGCGGGGCCGGCGGCGTCCCCGGCCGCCCGCCCGCCCGCGCCTCTCTCGGATCCCGGCCGGGCCCCGCGCAGCCCCCGCCCGCGAAGGGCAGAGCCAAGGTCCCCGCGCGGCTCTCGCTCCAGAGGCGGCGGCGGCCGAGGAGGCGGAGACAACAAAAGCCGGCTGCGGCGGCGGCGCGGAGCGCGAGGTCCGGCCGCT